AATCACTTTCATTGAAAGGGGTTGCCAAGCTTCCAAAAAAATATGAGTTGCCTGAAATCTCAGAAAACATTTTTTCCCCTAATCTTGATGATACTTTAGGATAATTATCAGTACACCAATTTCACTTGGCTCACCAAATTTCATTCTTCTAGGTTAAACCGTTCATTTGTAGTAACCGTTTTCATTTTTAGGTTTCACTCTGTTTTTTTCCTGTATGGATACATATATTTAGAACTCTAAATCAAACAAGGTTTTTGCTAGCTCTTTGAAACTTGACACAATAAAGAAGTTTCAAGTTCTATCTCTATGGTTGTTTCCAGTTGATGTAGTCCTAAGCAGAGACTGGCGAAAATCACTTTATAGAAAGGGCGTGCCAAGCTTGCAAAAAACTATGAGTTGCCAGAAATCTCAGCAAACGTTTTTTCACCCAATCTTGATGATACTTTCAGATAATGATAAGTACAGTAATCCAACTTGGCTCACCAAATTTCGTTCTTCTAGGTTAAACCGTTCGTTTGCAGTAACCATTTTCAATTTTAGGTTTCACTCTGTTTTCTCCTATATGGATACATGTAGTTGGAACTTTAAATCAAACACGGTTTGTGCTAGCTCTTTGAAAGTTGACACAATAAAGAAGTTTCAATTTCTATCTTTATGATTTGTTTCCTGTTGATGTAGCCCTAAGCAGAGACTTAAGAAAATCACTTTAATTGAAAGGGTTTGCCAAGCTTCCAAAAAACTACGAGTTTCATGAAATCTCAGGAAATATTTTTTCACCCAATCTTGATGATACTGTCAGATAATGAGCAGTACACCAATTCCACTTGGCTCCCCAAATTTAATTCTTCTAGTTTAAACCGTTCTTTTCCAGTAACTGTTTTCATTTTTACGTTTCACTCTGTTTTCTCCTAGATTGATACATGTAGTTGGAACTCTAAATCAAACACGGTTTGAGGTAGCTCTTTGAAACTTGACACAATAAAGCAGTTTCAAGTTCTATGTGTATGGTGTGTTTTCTGTTGATGTAGCCCTAAGAAGACACTCGTGAAAATCACTTTCATTGAAAGGGTTCGGTAAGCTTCCAAAAAACGACGAGTTGCCTGAAATCTCAGGAAACATTTTTTAACCCAATCTTGATGATACTATCAGGTAATGATCAGTACACCAATTCCACTTGGCTCACCCAATTTCGTTTTTCTAGGTTGAACCGTTCGTTTGCAGTAACCGTTTCCATTTTTGGTTTCACTCTGTTTTCTTCTATATGGATAAATATAGTTGGAACTCTAAATCAAACAAGTTTTGTGCTAGCTTTTTGAAACTTTACAAAATAAAGCAGTTTCAAGTTCTATTTCTATGGTTTGTTTGCAATTGATGTAGCCCGAAGCAGAGACTGGTGAAAATCACTTTCATTGAAGGGGGTTGCCAAGCTTCCAAAAAACTACGAGTTGCCTGAAATCTCAGCAAACA